TGTGTGTGTGGTATTTCATTGATATCTGATTTTTTTTTTTTCATTAGTGAAAACCAGGATTCCTGATCATAAGAATAGAAGAGTACCTAAGGGGGTAGGATGGATAGAGCAGGCGTTTTCTTAATTTGGGGAAACGTTGAGGGAAGTGAAGGCATTGATTGTTCCAAGTTCTGGCCACATTTCCACCATGCTTTCCATAGCAACCAGCTGACATGAATATGCTGTAAATGTTAGTTAACAAGTGTTCTTAGAAGTATGTAGCCTATCAGAAGTGTGGTTTGTGCTCTGTGTGGGGTTTGCTATATTAGGCAAAACTTAAATTTATGGAAAAGGTGTAGCATAGGTGGTATTTAAAGGGCATTCTTGGGAACCTGAATTGGGGAAGAAAACATCATAATGTAAGATCTACTCTCACTTTTGTACGAGTACTTTGAATGGTGGTCATTTTGTTATTGCTTCCCGTGCCTTAGATCACAGCTGTCTGCTTCACTTAGGCATTTACATAGAGATATGGTATATTATTAGTCTCATGTGCCTGTCTCAGGGCTCGTCCATTCAGTGTAAGCTTATCTAGCCAGCCAGGGGTGATCCATATAAGGTACTGTGTGTTAAATAACTCTAATTAACCTCAATAGTCTAAATACTAAAAAGAAAACCCCACAGTAAGATGGTGGTGTTGCTTGAGAAGCTGGTTGAAAGTATCCTAATTGTCTTTACTATAGAAGTGGAATGTTCCTGCCACATAACATTTGCATTTAAAATAATAAATGTTTTTTGTCTGTGTGACATAGTAGTTAATAGATTAGTGAGACAAGAGAAATGGAGGAATGTACACTGGTGTTTTAATTACTCTGTACAATGGAAGTGTCAGTATCTTTACAAAGCTTTAGAGAAAAAGTGGTGCAATGGAAACAAAAGAGGAACCACGAGTTATTACTTGGATATCAAATAACATGGGATGTGAGCTCCAAGTATTTAATGGCAAATGTTTTCTCTTTCTCTCAGCCTCTTTTTGCATTTGAATACAACGAGGTGTTTCCAGAAAACGGATGGAAGGTATTTGACCCTGTTTTGGAGTACAGAAGACAGGTGGGTACTTGTGTCACAACCTTGCTCATATTTTTTATTCTGCAGCAATTCAGTCCTATGGTGGAATATAATTTATAGATTGTTTGTAATGAAGAATAACCCTACACAAAATGCAGGATCAGGACATTGCCAGTTACTGAATATGTCAACCGATGTTGGTGCAGCTCCACAAGTAATAACAACCCCTTAAGCATTAGTGTAGACAGCTTTAGGTTGCATATAAGCAGATTTTCATGATAAGGTGGATAAAACCTAATGCCCTCTAAATGATCAGCTGTGTTTTTACAAAGAGGATACTTTCACTGTAAAACCCTAGCACAGAGCAAGCAGCCCTGAGGAAATGTTGGCTTACCGTGGCTGTAGCTGTTCAACCATAAACCCGTAATCCAGCGAGCTACATTACAATTTACCTCATCTAGAATAGGATTTACAACAAGATAGTCTAACAAAATAGATGATGTTGACTAGGTTGTTTCAAAAAAAATCCCTAATCTAGAAGTCTAATTCTGCGTCTTCACTGCAAAAAGGTGTGTGTTTTTATGTGGAGATCTCTTGATGTACAATACTAGTAGAGACAAAACAGAAGTAGTGAACTAGTTGAGGTCAACCGTCTCTCGTTTGGGTTTGACCACGACTAGTTACATTGAAATAAAATCGATAATGTCTTGTCTCCACTAAGATTTTACACCAACGTAACTATTTCACGTTATCTACATTGACTGTGGAAACGCACCTTTTTTTTTTTTTTTTTTTTGCAG